TATGGTGACTAACTGGACCCTGAGGGCGGGGTGGCGTTGGGGTTACCGAGGGTCCGGGTCATGAAGTGACGCACTCTCAGCTTCTGCATCTTCAGCGCCTTCATCCCGAAGCTGGCGATTTCGGCTAGCGGGTTGCCGGCTTGTCTGTGAAATAATCAGCTTTCAGTTGTGAGTCATAATTAGATTATTAATATTCACTATGAAGAAAAACATATACTGTGGCGCATTCTCAGCTTCTTCATTTTGTGTGAAAATCAGGTATCTATTGTGAGTCATAATCAGATTATTAATATTCATTATGAAGAAAAACATAAAATGTACCGCATTCCCAGTTTTTTTCATTTTGAGGACCTTCATCTATTTCAATATCGGCTAGTGGATTGATTGCTGGCTTGTCTGTGCTGACATGAGCTTTCAGTTGTGAGGCATCAGCAGGTTATTTATTAGTAATAATAATGGATAGAAAAAGAAATAATGTGTATTTTTTCTACTGTATATATAATGCTGTCTTGATTTAGCTTACTGTAATTTTAGTCTGTGGAATCTTACGCTACAATGTTCGAGTAATAAGCCTACTACACCTTTTAATATCTTGCGTGTACCAGACTAATTTTCTAATAGCGTATGTGTTAAAAAAACTAATGATATTGTAAGTTGTAATTTATTTTAATAATCCCACTCACACATCGGCCTCGTCGACGTCTGACCCGTGCTTGGCGAGGGCGAGCAGGATCATCGTGAGTTCCTTCTTGTTGATCTTGCCGTCCTTGTTGAAGTCGCAACCCCGCATGATCGAGTCCTGGAACTCCTGCAGGTCCAGCGCGTCGTAATCCTGCAGTAAAATTATACCATATGAATAACTTGCTTTATATGGTCGAATTAATATTGCTGACAGGTCGTTATCCTGCAATAAAATTATACCATCTAAATAACTGGAGAGGGTCGAATTAATGATGCTGCTAGGTCGTAATCCTGCAGTAAAATTATACTATCTAAATAACTTGAGATGATCGAATTAATGTTGCAGATAGGTCGTAATCCTGCAGCAAAATTATACATCTAAATAACGTGAGATGATCGAATTAATGTTGCAGATAGGTCGTAATCCTGCAGTAAAATTATACAATCGAAATAACTCGAGATGGTCGAATTAATGTTGCTGCTAGGTCGTAATCTTGCCGCAACATCGCACTGTTTATGCAACTTGAAATGGTCGAGGAGAAATTAATGATGCTCCTAGGTCGAAATCAATAAAAATGTATATAAATGTAAATAAGTATAAGTATTTGTCGGCTGAATTTTCTTGTTCATATGCGTGCAATTAATGACCATAAAATGCATTACAATTTTCAAGTAGTCGAACAGTTCTTTAGAAGACGTTGGTAAAAAAGGCAGGTTTAGCAAGTAATGATAATAAATTACCCAGATACTAAATAGTCTTTTAATCTAATTAACCAGTTACCTCTTTATCCAATTACCAATCATATTTTCATTCATAAACCATCTCACCTTCTTCACGAGTTCAAGAAGATCCTTGAGGAAGCCGTTGAGCTCCTCGTTCTCGATGGTCCCATTATTGTCCTGAGAAAAACATCGGGTTTAGGATGCAAGATGAACATTTATCTTATATGTACAATATAAGAGCACGACCTGTTTAATTGTGTAAACGCCATACAAATATAGCTTTAAAGAAATGATTTTAAGAAATTTAATAAAAGTGCAAGTATATTCGCAAAATTTTGTGATGTGATTCGTCAATTCCGATTTGTGACACCATGGGTACTGGAAATAATTGTCCTGTATGGCTTGTTCAGTGCATCACTGAAAAAATTTCCTCATATAAGTAGATGTAGTTTATGCATAAAAATATAATTACACATTATTATCACAAATAATATATAAAGATGATGATAATATATCTTGGAGTTAAAATACTCACCCTATCATATAGAGAGAAAACGCGTTCAATGTCTTCGCGAGTTACTTTAGCTGCTCCCTGCGATGTGAAAGAGAAGAGGTACAGAGAACAATGTGTTGAAAATAACAATCAGCGTCCCTCAATATGTTATCAAAATTGTTGTGAAAAATTTTCGAACTATGTTGACATTAGAGAAATGTATATCACATATGTTTATGATAAATAATCATGAATTAGCCTTCAAAATTTTCACTGTGTATTCTTCTCACATATTTTATTAACTAACTCATGCCAACTCAAACAACTATATCGTACTATGTATGAGTTTTAAGGAAAAATTATTATAACATTATCATTTCAGAAATTCTCATATATGGTCATAAAAAATACATAAATTAATTGGGCCAATAAGTATTCCATATAGCTGGCCAAAATGTTAGAAATTCAAACCGGAAACAAACTACAATATCATTCCAACAAACTCGTCCAATATGCTTGTCAAATATTCAAGCAGCTTCAGAATAAATAATTCTTCTCCGCGCTTCACATCATAATAATACTTTGACATCTGAAAAACCTATCAAGGATTGCAATCCTGCTTCGTAATTAAATGCTTAATCCAGGATTGTGGCTTGAAGAGTCAAGTACTGTGGATATTCCATATATCAAGTACGAAGACTTATTTCATTCTAACTTAGACTGTTAGAAAAAACGGTGAAAAAACGGTCCCACTGGCGTTCTAGTGGCCGGTCGCCCCATGAAAATAAACTGTTTCGCCGTTTTTATAGGATGTTTTACGGATTTCTAGTGTTAAATTAGAATAAAAACGGCGACATGGTGTGGCTTTTTACGTGCCGACCGGCCACTGAAACGCCGATAATACCGTTAACGGTAATTTTTCTAACAGTGTATAGTTATGTAGTGACGATGGAATCTCCATTTTTTCATTTGCCTTAGCGCCATAATTAACGATCGCGGTGAATAATTAATAACTTTATATTTATTTTGGAATGTAATCCTTTGAATATATTTTGTTTCATTAATACAACCTTTTTTGTTATATTCATCGTCATAAATCTCGCCGTATATCAACCGTTATCGGGAATAAAAGTCACAATGAACGCTTTATTGCCGAAGACTTGTAACAAATGTGTTAATGAAATGAAAATGGCTCAATATTTCAATTATATTGTTTGCTGCGCTGCAACGTAATTCTTTGGAACAGTGCATTAACTACCATAATTTATAATGTCGATGGTCCGACTGTTCTTCTAGGGATCCACATTGATGTGAAATATCATGAAATACTCTATATTTTACGTAGTAATAACGTGATTATTACCTTGAAAATCGATTTTAAATTCGACTGTTGCATTTGTTAGCATTCAGTCGTGGTGGCGCAGTTGCAAGCATTACATCTTAATCACTTCTTCAAAACCTAACGGTATACATTTAAAAGAATATGTAGGCTGAATATTACTTTAATTTTATGAGCATGCTAAAATATTTCACCCATTTACTATTTGTTAGATAATTTTACATTTGACCGTGGGAGTGAAATCAACGAACAGTCATTAGATACTTGAATGTCAGGTGTAAAGTCCGTAGACTTAACACAAGTCCATTATCCTTTATGTAGTCACTTGCAGCATATAAGTATGTAGGGTTTAAAATCGATTCTTCAAATGCAGAGTTATTGGTACAAAAAGATATATCTGCTCATATTGCATGATCTAATAACCTTGACATCGAAAAATAAAGATTAATGTTATTTAAACAATATATGTTATGTTCCTTTAATGACAGTTTTCAAATAATTTAGTTTCCGGCTGTCCTGGTAGCAGCAGACCTCTGATCTTCTAGAGAATGAACGCGCCTAACACTAGCACTCACATAACAATAACAGAAGCAGTAACAGAAGCAAGCGAAAAATGTTGTCAAATGGCACTAATGTTAACAAACCAGCACTAATTTGCTACAGTGAAGATGCAGCTCGTGCACGACGGCCGTTTGGCCACGCCACAGGGCAGCGCTTATGGTCATACACCAAATTCAGAGGCTCATCAGCTTCTGATTAGAGGAATCAGAAGCTGGAGCATCTCTGACTTCTGACTGGCGTGTGGTCCAGCGTGGGTTTTACGAACGCGATACTCAAACAAAATTCATGGTGAATTTACGGGAGTAATTATGATAAGCGATACACGCAACAGGCTAAATGAAAACATACTTGATTGTCTTTAATTTTAATATAGTAAAAAAATTGTATCGTGATAGATGAAAGCAACTTGATTGTCTCCAATTTAAATACGGTTGCAAATTATACAGTTATAAATGAAGAAAAACATTTTTCCGCAATTTAAATAGGTCCGAAATATACTGTGATAATTGAAAGCAATTTGGCTGTCTTCAGTTTAAATACGGTCCAAAAATGTATCGTGCAAATTGAAAACAACTTAATTGCCATGAATGTAGAACCGGTCTGAAATTTCGGGACTTATAATAGATTTGAAAAGGAAAATATATCGGCGGGCTGGTTGTGAATTATGCACGAGTATCGGGCTCCTGTGTTGTGCTTGCGAGAGGTCCTACCTACTGCAACCTGTTCCAGGAATTGCTTGAGATCTAATCAGTTTTTAATGAGGTTCTTTTCAACATTGTATTGAAATTGCATACTTCAAGAAACTTGTTTTGTAAGCACGAAACGCATGTCTTTTTCCTTATTAATGCAGAAAAATTTACTTCATATATCTGTATTCGATTTTATTTCTACTGATCATTTAGTACATGGTAAGCAAACTGGATACGTTCGTAAACAATTTCTGGCAAATTTCAAAAGATTTCATTATGATTTAAAAAAATTGCTTTTCGAGATTGAATGTATTTAGAAATTGAAAATTTCACAAAAATTTGCAAAATATCTTCGGTCACCAATTTGTATGGAATATTTCAGAAGTAATATTCAGATAAAAAATTTCGAAAATTTGTTAGCAATATATTTTGGCATTAATTGAAATGCGTCAGAACCATCTTCGCGGCACCCGTAATCGTGAAAAAATATTATTCACCTACTGAACTGATTAGATTTCAACTCGAGCTTTTGTATCTCTCCGAAAACAGGCAGCAACTTCCACGATGCAGAGACGTCGCAAGCTCACACGCTAAACCCAGCAGCTGGCATGGCCATGTTGCCATACACTAGCATGTCCACATGACACAACGCTAGCAAGCCCATATGGAAACATGCTAACATGACCATGTGGAAATAGGCTAGAGTGCCTATTTGGCAACATGCTAAGATGTCCATTGGCCAAAAGGCTAATATGGCCATGTTGCATCACACAAGTGATGCAACAGTAAGACCATATGAAAACATGCTAGCACGTTCATATGGCAACACGTCATCATGTCCAGACGGCAACACTCCATCATGACCATATGGCTCCCCTGTGTCGACGACCTCCTGGCAACACTGCGGGCTCCATCTTACCTCGCTCACCTTGAATACCGATCAAAATGTAGAATTAGGAAAAATATATCACTAATTTTATCGGAGGGGAATAAAATGAAAGTTTCTGTAAATCAGAAAACTACAATATGAGTTACAGATCGACTGCTGATTTATTATTAAATAAGGTCAAAAAATTTATTGAATATAAAAATTTCAATTTATTATTTATTACATCTGCCTTAGTAGAAAAGAATGAACGCCCTATAGGTAATTGCATCGAAATAAATTAAGATAATATTAGAAAATTTTTGACATGGTTGCGACATATTTTTTTTTGTATGTGGCATCACTCTTTTCAGTGTAAATTATTAACTAACCCAGTATATTTTCATGGCTTCCTGAAGCCAATTTCCCTCAGTGTAGTCGCTTTACACATCAAGCCCACTACGTTCGTTACCTAAAAATCACATTAGTTTCTCGATGCTCAGTACATACTCACCATGGTCTCAGTGTACTCAGTTCACACTCACCATGGTCTCAGTGTACTTAGTGCACACTCACCATGGTCTCAGTGTACTCAGTGCATCTCACCATTTTCTCAGTGTACTCAGTGCATCTCACCATGGTCTCAGTGTACTCAGTGCACACTCACCATGGTCTCAGTGTACTCAGTGCTCACTCACCATGGTCTCAGTGTACTCAGTGCACACTCACCATGGTCTCAGTGTACTCAGTGCAC